ATGTAAATAATGTTAAACCTTTTTTACAGAACTGAGCCAGTTTTACTAGAATTGGTTTGTATGAACATTTCATTAATTGATTGTATTTTAGAGTGGAGGGATATTTAGTATAGTAGGCCGGAAGGTATTGTTTTCGAAGGTCATTTAGTCTTGGACATACTAATAGAAAGTGAAAGTAAAAGTAATTAAGCATTAAGAAACCCGACAGACACTGTTGACGTTCAATCCGTAATCTGTAGGTTTGTTCATTGGGACAGGACGTCGATCTTTCTGAAGCATTGTTTCCACACAACAGCCGATAATCCTTAAGCCTACTCTGCTCCATTCGCCTTATTCAAAAACAAATCCGCGAGTAGTTTCAGCTCTAGTGACCAACTGCGAGAGTAGGCTTCTTTCCCGGGAATACCTCTGCCTTCTGGCTTCAAACGACCGAGGCATTTATTTTGTAATCTAGGCTTACATACATTTACACACACGCACGCACACACATAAATACACATACATAATTTACATACATTCAATCATACATACAGTCATACATACCATGCATACACACAGCCATGTAATCATACGTACACACTGAATAGGAAGCGTGTGTATTGATCTGTTGTCTTAATCACTGACCAATCAAGAGTGTCAGTCGGCATGTATCAAATCTTTATAACCGGTGAGATTGTGATAACTGTCACACCTGACTTATTTGTCTGAATGACACGTCTGAAAACAAGGGGTGAACCGTTACACAGTAACTCGGGGTAACGATTTTCTGTGCTATAGAATCAAAGTACCGTTGTGCTGCATGTGTATGGTGTACATATATCTCACGATGATGTGTCATTCCTTAATCAGTACGATGTACGGCATAAGTACATACACTTAAAAGCAGACACATGTTAACGATAATAATGACAGAGAGATAAATAAACGCAGGTCGGGTAAGTATTATTACCTTGGTTAATTATAAGTTGCCATTTTTTAAACAGTTTTTCATAAAATGAAAGAAATGATGGTGCAGAAAAAAGACTAGCAATTAACACTATAGCCGTGATGCAATCGCGTTACTTAATACAATCCACAACAATATATAGGGCGCTTTTTTGCTATTTATTCGTTATATGATATCAATAATTCATTTATGGATACTAAAGAATGAATTTATATCACACATTTGATTTTGTTTTAACATGAAATGTTTATTAATATCGCAAATCGGGTTTTAGATATCAATAACTGAATTTATTATCAAATGATGTACTTTATCATCTAAAAAATCAAATATAATATTGTATCTATAGCCTTCGTCTCCGTGAACTTTATGCCCATTTTTTAATAATTCGTGAAGATAGGTACAGTATCGTAACATTTGCATATATAGTCATATTCAGATGATGTCTCTACAAGCTTCTTCCTTTTGTTTAGTCAGCAGCTTTCTTCATGGCTATGGATGTGGAACACAGGCTTAAGGGTTACATATGAACCTTGTTTCATTGTATTTTAATGCGATTTGAATATTATTATTTACTATCGTACTTACTTCATGTTTTAAATGAGACGTTTTATATTTATATGTCACCACAAATTACAATTATTGCTTGTAAGCTCAACACAATTGACAAATACTCCAAAAGATATGACTAGTAAATCATTAATGTACGTTGAAAAATATATATTGTAAATGCCAGAATGATGTATCTAGGATCAAGTAGAAGATATATGGACAGCAGCGCTATGAATTTATTCAACAAGCCCGTGGAAACAACACTGCTTTAGCTCAATGTTTACCACTCCTGGCGGCCATTATGCAACGGCCATCTTACACACAACCCCGCGCTCACGTCTACAGGTCTTTTCCTGTGGTACGGTAATTAGTAGAACCCTCTCCCCCAAGTGTATCCTCCATGATATAACGGCTTCCGCACTAAAAGAAGTACAACGGAACACATTTATACTTTATTCTCCATTATCAAAAAACGTAAATCTGTTAAACTCCCAACTTACGTCTGTTATATCGACGCCATGAAAGCCTTTGATCGTGTTAACCGCGACTGTCTTTGATATAAATTACATAGATTGGGAGTAAACGGAAAGTTCTTCCGATCAGTTAAATCGCTATATGAAAATAATAGCTCTCGGGGTTTTATAAATAGTAAAATGACTGACAGCTTCGCTGTATTTAGCGGTGTAAAACAAGGTTGTGTTCTGTCGCCTATGCTCTTTTCTGTTTTTATCAATGATTTAGTTAAAGAAATTAATGATCTTAAATGCGGAATAAAGGTTGATAATTCTATAATCAGTATTTTATTGTATGCCGACGATATCGCTCTTTTAGCACCCGATGAAAAGTCATTACAATCAATGTTAACCTGTGTCGACAATTGGTGCAAGAAATGGCGCCTTCAAATAAATAGCAAAAAAAACAAAAATTGTTCATTATCGTAACATATCCTCTGTTAAGTCATCCCATCACTTTACTTGTGGTGCGGAAAATATAGAAATTGTTCATTCATATACGTATCTTGGGCTTTGGTTACATGAAAACTTAGATATGAATTATACAGCAAAAGAAATATCTAAATCAGCCAGTAGGGCACTTGGGGTAATTATCAGTAAGTTTAAAGCGGTGGGCGGCATGGCTTATGATGTATTCACTACTTTATACAATAACTTAGTTCAACCAATTTTATCGTATGGTTCAGCTATTTGGGGCACCAAAGAATTTAGTTGTATCAACGCTATCCAAAATAGAGCTTGCCGCTTTTTCTTGGGAGTAGGCAACAAAACACCTAATTTGGCAGTAAGGGGGGAAATGGGATGGTCATCTAACTATACAAAGCAAAAAATTGAGATAGTACGTTTCTGGAAAAGGCTGAGTTTGGCAGATGAAAACAGGCTAATGCATATAGTGCAAAGATGGTCATCTAAATTTCGTAAGTCATGGGATAATTCAGTTAAGAAATTATTCGATGTGAAATCAATTACTTCTGTTATAACTAATCTATTATCGTGTGACTTCGACCATGCTAGAAATATACTCATCAATAAGGATAAGGAACTATTGTTGGAACAGCTCTGGGATGACAGGGGATTACAAATGGTATTAAGTTAAGAACATATCGACTGTTTAAAACGTCCTTAAGTTTCTCCAAATATGTCATTAATATAGCCAACAGAGAACATCGTAGTATATTTGCTAAATTTAGATGTGGTACGCTCCCTCTGGAAATTGAACTTGGTCGTTTCTTGAAACCAAAAATTCCCTTACATAATCGTATTTGTAAACACTGTAATACAAACAGTATCGAAGACGAGGTTCATTTCTTAACAACGTGTAATCTTTATGCAGATCAACGAGAATACGTTTGGGGTTATGCCTCGTCTCTTTGCCCAAATTTTTGTCTCATGACCCCTATAGATCAAACCACATTCCTTATGAAGTGCTATAATTTATCCTATTCTGTAGCTGCACTAATTAAATCCATGTACAAACGTAGGTTATATAACAACGTGTCATAAACCCATTCTAGTATTGTATGCATCTGTATATAAACATGTCATTGTATGGCAATGCTTGTTATAAATTTACGAGTATTATACTTTTATCACGTATTTTGTGCACCATTAATAAATAAATTCATCACTATCCACTATAACTATTTTAGCACTTGCAGTGCTTTTAAGAACATTAGTGTCTAATAGGCCCACGCTGGCCGGGCGATGTATATCTTTTCATATATTTTACCTCCTGTATAAATTGATGTAACTTTATGTATACACCGCTGGACACTTAAATAAACTATTTTTCTTCTTTCTTCTTCTCTTCTCTATAACCTACTCTCATTAATTAAATGCTGCCCTTTCCCAGCGTCACGGCTATGTATCTGAGACAAAGAGACCCAACCATCATAAAGTAATTAGGGTCCAATAAAAACAATGCTCCACCAGACCTCATAAACATGACCACTGAAAGTCGTACTACAGACGTTTAATGTGAAATCACAAAAAAAGCATTTGAATAGCAATGACATTTAACAGGATCATGTATTCTCTTAACACCATCGCAAAACATCATGTAGAAGCCACAACAGTACTCATATTTTCCAACAAAATCACATCTAAAAATGAGACATCAGAAAGTACATATAATTAAATGTGTATTAACATTTTTCGTCAGGAAATCAAAAGGTTATCTCCTTGTTACCACCTCCAGGTTCAGCTAAACATGGGCCCTCTCCTTTGGTCAAAAGTTTGTTCCCCCTCTAATGAGTGTGACACGCGTTCCACACGAGTGACGAACGGGGTGCACACGGGTTGCGTAACGCGTTGCCCATGCGTGTAAGGGGAATGAACAGCTAGGAAGTAGTGTACGTTTTGCGTCTTACCTTATCATGGGGAAGAAACAAGAGGTCAGCCTGATGAACTTCATTCGTTGTAAAAATGTCAAACTTCTTCCTTGGGATATAACGCGGTGCCGGTAAGTATATTTGCCACATCGCTTGTTTCTTTAACCAATCCTTGACCACATCGTTAGATACCTTAGCCGCAGTGGCTAATTTTTGTACTGCTCCTATACCTTTCCAATATCCTCGTGGGCTATAGTTAATTTTATCCATTATTAAATAATATTGATGTTTATTTTAATACAAACCATGACGGTCGTTAAATCGTATCATAATTTTTGCATAAAAAAATCCATCTGTAGTAGCAGTATAGGTATATAAATCTGACTCCAGTGGGATTGCGGTAGAACCCCCATTACCTATACTACTGCTCGTGGTTTTCAACAAAGTGGTAAACCTTTATCACTTCGGGCTTTCCTCCAAAAGGTTGCTGACACGCCGTAATATAACCGACACATTGTTCAAAGCAGCGTCAAATCCAGAATTTAGCCCCTTAAGCGTGTCCGAAACCTAAGATCGTGTGTTCGAAACTCAAATACTCCTCGCAGTTATGCTTCATTGGTTGTCAGCACCATACCCGTGTAATGTGATATTGAAACTAACCTTTATGAAGATGCAGGTCCTCAAATTTGACATTTCCAGACAGGTATTGCCCCAATGACTTCTGAACGTCTTCGTGTAGGTCATTCGATAGATTTTGTACCTCTCGTGGATGTACAGCTCGTGAATTGACAGTGTTCACAATAGAGGAGACGAAACGAACGCCATGTTGATCTGTTGTAAAGGTCACAACAAAAATGGTCACCAAAGTTAATCCAATTGTTAATCCTAGTAGAACTGCAGATAGTTTCCTGAAAGAAGGGAACGTCGCCATTTCCACAGCTGTGTTGCTGATGTTGTACATACGCGGTATAAATATCCCACTGTGACATCTGATGCATCAGTACTTCAATATATAGGATTGGGTCTATTTGAAACCTCTGATTTGATCTCAGCTGTAGGCACAGTATGGATTTTGTCTTTCAACGCTGCAACATCTGATTCACAGTAAATCGTCGATAGTTTTAACAAGCGTGAAATACAACAAACAATTTTTTCAAATGTAGACCACTAGGCGAATATGCTACACAGAGATGATACAACAAGGAAACTGGATTGAAACAAAATGGTAAATGGTTCGTATTAACATAACATGTATTCCAAAACTTAAATGACGTTTTACACTGAGGTATTTATCTTGATCGTCGTAATGATTGCAGGTTTCATGTTCTCCATTCATTTCAAAACCTCACCTTGTCAAACCCTTACAACATAACTGTCTTCGAGGTTCGTTGGAAAGTCTCTCGACCAGTTCATTGGTTCTATGTCAAGGGCGACCAGACTTGGTTAGAATCCGTGTTTATGTGTGACAAGTTCCAGCTGGGGACATTTTAGTGACCTTGACAAGCGATGATGAATGTTAATACTCATACTATTATAGTTAGTAGAATTGAAAATGAAACTTACTTACTTATATTGGAGATTTTACGTGCGCTTTCCGACTGCAGCGTATTTCGCACACGGGCCCGGCCAAGCCATTTAACGTGTTTCCGAAAATGGGAAAAAGTTGTTTGGCAATCCAGTAGGGGTGTTTTAGTGTTTGTTTATATAGAATTTTGGAAATTTTGAAATTGGGAAAAAATGCCAAGAGGGTTTGGGGGACGAACTAATGGACCTGAGTATGGAAGTTTGTTAGTTTGATTATGTGGTCTGGTTTTGGTAGTTTATTTGGGTTTTAAATGCGATTTATTAGTCCTGTTTTGATTAAGTAAACGCCTAAGGCTTTGAATTTTTCGCCTAAGGCTTTGAAAATGAAATTGTTATATAAGTCATTTATATATTAAGTGTATTTAAGTGGGGAGGTCGGCGGGGTGCCTTGTGGTTAAAGCGTTCGATCGTCACGCCGAAGACGCGGGTTGGATTCCCTACAAAGGTACAATGTGTGAAGCCCATTTCTGGCGTCCCCCGCCATGATATTGGTTGAATATTGCTAAAAGCGGCGTCATGCCATACTCACACACCCGTATGAAGAAGGTATTATGTTTTCACGTCAACGTGGTAGTGAAAACCTTAACCTTTATTATAAGGGTAACGCTAGTTTTCAGGGCAGTATTATGTGCAGAAGCCGGAGGTCTTACATTAACTGCCCGACGAAGGAGGGCAGTTGAAAAGAACGAGGGCTTCTGCAAATGATAATGCCCTGAAAAATAGCATTACCATTATTATAGCTAAAATGGAAAGAATTTGTTATCAAATAAAAATTAATAACAATTTCGGTTTTGAAACATTTACTGCTATCAACACACAACGAATGTCACTGATCAAATTTTATAAATGTGGATACGTGAGGGACACAACCAGATGACGTCACTATTGAACATCAATATGACGTCACCTACCAACGGGGGTCATAATTGTTACACCTAGCATTTTGTTCAAGCAATATGAGGGCATTATCAAGTTAGAGTGGCCCTCTCATTTCTGCTGACATGCGGGCGGTTTAATGATAATTCTATCCGTTTTATCTATAAAACATTTTAATTTATTTGTGATGTTTGACATCACAGAACATGATGATGATCAAAATGTTGATCATTTCATATTCAATCTTATGTTTCCGTTTGTGTTTAGGGGTGCATGAAAAGAGCACAAACAACAACATAGGTTACAGAATAGCCTCTCACCCAACAGTGCCGTTTACCACTCTTGACATACGAAAGGGTCTTTTGTACCAGTAAACTTCTACACGAACTGTCCTAGAGAAGGGATTTGAAGAAAAGCGGTGGAAACTCACACAGTATTTAACAGTTACAGTTACATTTTGTTGTTTTAAGCTGTAATTTTGGCAGACGCGTGGTTCATTTAAGTCTAAACCTTAAACAGTTTAATACATATACAATTCATGGATAGTTTGGTGAACGATAACGATGCTTGAATGAACACCCTTATCTGCGCTTTTCAAACAGTGACAATAAGCATTTGTTATATGGGACAGGAGCGTGTACGTGCCTGAAGTAAGTATCTTAAATATCTACCGCTTTGATAGGGCAGATATGTATGTGTCTAATATAGCCTTGTGGGCAGATTTTTGAAAGGCACCCAGACAGTCACTCACTTGTTTGAATATGAAGATTGTTCCATCTGGGTCATTGTTTTGTTTTGAACTTGTCAAAACAAAACAAAAACATTACCAGAACAAAACGTCTCGTGAAAGCCAGTTTTGAATGATAAATGTAGATTGACATACACTCAAAGAAAACATTCACTCATGAACCTCACCCTGTGCCTTACCCTAAGTCCCAGTCTATTTCTGATGTCCTTAACACAGATTCGGTGTCGACTGTAGTGAAAATGTCAAGAGAACTCTACCAGTTCCAAGTGTTTACTTGCTTGTTGGTGATGATTTAGCAGAGTCCAAGACCAAGCACTTCAAAGAGAACAGTGGCACGGGTGGCCCAGTCGTCTAAGGCGCCACAATTCGCTGTGCAGAGTTGTGTCCCTTGGGCATGCTAGAAACCGGTGATTGTGGGATCGAATCCCGGTTCCCCCCGATTATGTTTCTAGGTTTATCAGCACCATACCCGTGCTCGTGGGATTCCCCGAAGTGGAAAATGAGACCTGCATCACTTCGGGCTTTCCTCCCACATGAAGCTAAGACGCCGTGATACAACTGGAATACTGTTTAACTCAACCCAACTAACTCACTCAAAGAGAACCGAATCATTTCAGGAAGTAATTCCATGTATATTTCCTTTATGTGTTGGGACTCTTTCTATGGCTAACACGATCTCCTAGGAGATTTCAAACGAGAATTATGAAACTTGCTGATACTTCATGGGTCATTCACTTTGGGATACCTCTTCTTCAAATGAGAACACTTTTCTGTCGAGCAGTACTGTTAATTCTCCGGGCGCGACGCTGTACAAAGATCTTGTAAACACGGTGGTTTTCTACTACCAATAATCTGTTGAAGATGAATTGGAATATTAAGCACCAGAATATACCCAGATATTTCGTGAACAAGTGATGAAAAAAGATTCCTTTATATCAAATCGAGAACGCCTATAAACCAAATACTGAATGGCTAGCACATTTTAAAAAATATATTTTCATCTGAAGCACCGTATAATTCTAATTGCTTATAGATGTTGGCAAGCAATCTCACACTAAAGATGATGTAGACAAACATGTACGAATTTCAGAATCACCCATCACAGCTACAGAAATTCAAGACGACATTTCCCACCTTAAGACTGCACAATGTGCCTGTGTCCACCAAAATACATCCAAAATTATCAAATATTCTCTACCCAACTCTATGCCATTTCTTGTGAGATGTTTCAACTGATCATTGATGAAGGTTCTTTCCGAAACCAGTTACCATCCCCACATAAACATGGAAATGTGAACAATCCTGATGACTATCGGGGTATTTCTCTGACAAGCATTTTAGGCAAGGTATCTACCAGACTTATCAATAATACACTGATTCAGTGGTCGAACATGTGCAGGATGGATTCAGGAAAAGCTATTCCACATTTGACCATAATTTCACTCTGTAATTGAAAAAGTAGCTATCAAAATAATAAGTTTAAATTATGTGTTTGTTTTTTTGGACTTCAGAAAGATTCTGTGGACAGAAGACGATGATGGAAATGTCAACTTGGATGGCAAAATGTATATTATGTCTAAATGAATTTATCAAAATGTTAAATCACGTGTTTGATGTGACGACGTTGTTGCTGAGTTTTTCGACTGTCCAATCGGTCTACGCCAAGAATGTCTATTGAATCCTATGCTATTTTTATTCTTCACCCATGAATTATACAATGAAATTTTACTTTTTGGAAAACAGAAGTCCAATTATTTCCTGACATAATATAATGTTTGGCATAGCTATTTGCGAATGATGTAATCTGTATTATATCCGGCATGCCTAACCAACTGGCTATTCTATCAGTGTACTAGAATAAATGGAAATTTGATTTAAATTTAGATCAGAAAAGTATTGTGATTTTAAGAAAAGGAGGACCTATTGCATTGAGAGAAAAGTAGACATTAAACGGGGCATATTTGAATATTGTCTGGGAATAAAAATATTTTCGAATATTATTCACAAGTACATAAACTTAAGTAAATTGCTGTTAAATTGATATACAAGCGCAAATATAGCCTTCCTTCAATTGCAGTTTGTTTTGTTACAGGAAGATTTGTCAAAAACATTTCTGATAAGCGTCAGAAAAAAATATTCTACACTTGAATAAAAACCTTGTTCGTTGTCGTTGTAGCATTTTGGGGTGAACTACACAGAAGCCTATTGAAATCACTGATCACAACGCCCATTTTTCATAAGATGAAGCAGAAAAAAACAGAGATTGATGAGTTGTGAATTCTTCTTTGCAAGAATTGTAACTTGAGATCAAGCATATCAAGGGCAAAGCCAATCTGCGAATGCTCTATCTAGAGTCAGATTAATGGATGAATACACAGATGCAGTTTTTATATTTATGCAGACAGGTTCTATGTTAGGTCTTTGAAAGGCATTCAGAAGTGAGTCGCATAAGGAAGAGAATATATGGATGTCAACTTCTTTATTATGAGGAACACAACGTTTTGGAGTAAATGCTTACTCCTTCATCAGGTGAATGAATGCTATGAGGCAGAGATCATATATATGTACATGTAAGGACAACAAAATTAATAAGATAACAAAAGGTGGAAAATAACAAAGGGTACAAGCTAACAAAGGAAGCCAACAGATGATCGGTGCTGATAGATGATTAGCCTATCGGACCTCTGTCTTATTAATCTTGTTGTCTTTACATGTACATATATTTCAAGATTTCAAAATTTTGTTCAGACAATACCGATGCCTTGGCTAACTTTCGCGTTTCCGTTGTTATTTTGTTT